GGCACAGTGCCTAAGGCACCTGACTGCTAACCAGAAGGCTGGCAGTTCAAACCCAGCAGCCACTCCTCGGAAGGAAGATGCCTTGGAAACCGAATGGGGGTCCCTTGGAGTCAGAATCACCTCGATGGCAGTGGGTTTGGTTTGCGGGGGTTTGGTACCATTGAGATGTCCCTGCAGCAGGAAGAGACTCTGACCCCGCCCCCGCCAACCACAGGGGCCAAAGTCAAGGGGATGCAGAAGGCAGGTCCCACTCCGCAGGCATGGACACTGAGTCCAGCCAGCACTAAAGCTGCCCCAGCTGCTGGGCACCCTGAGGCCCTGTCGACCCAGCCTTGCCCCCCTGGCCTCACGGCCCAGCGGGCCGCCTGCACCTCAGGGAGCCTGTTAAGCGCCTTTTCCCAGCCCTGCAGGGGCCCTGATTACAGCCCTCACAGCTCCTCTCTCCGTGTGATGAGTCGTGTTGGAGGGGCCCCCAGGTGGGCAGGAGCAGCTTCCTGCTCTCCTCAGACTCCCCTGACACCTGCCAGGGAAAGGACACACCCCCGGGCCGGGAGGCTTGGTGCCCCACCCCCAGCAGGCCACCAGACCTGGCCCCTGACTTGTGCTGACCCCAGGCAGCGGGATGAGCACTGGACTAAGCTTTCAGGGGCCTGGGCAGGAGAGGTGTGGCCACACCTTCCCCTCCACCCTGCTCTCCCTGACACCCCCAGCAGCAGTGCCACCTCTTCCTGGAAGCCTCCCTGGTGCCTCCACCCTCACTCCCAAAGACGTTTTGGGGCGCCTCAATGGGACCTGTTGAGGAGGCACTTGGCTTCTGCTCCTGTCACAGACCAGGAGTGACAGGTGTGTGCTCTGAGGGGTCAGAGAATAAGTAAGTATGTTAGGCCTGGAGAGATACTTGGCTTCTGTTGCCGCTGCTCAGCCCCTCCTTGTAGAGAAAGCAGCCACGGTGGTATGTAAGTGAGTGGGCGGGGCCTTGTGCCAATAAAGCTTTATTTACAAACCACAAAACAGTGAGCAGGTTTGGGCCCAGGGCCCTAGTTGGAGGACCTGTTGCAGATGCTCATGTTGTGTTGATACTCCCAGCTGTCCAGGGAAGAACATGCAGGCACTTTACTGAGCCTGAGAGTCCTCTGAGGACCCACTTGTCATTCCTGAGAACATCTGTCGTCACTGTGTTCATCTGACAGCATTCGGCTCACTTCACTGAGCCCCTCCTGTGTGCTGGGCAGCCCAGGGGGACCCAGCAGAGCTCCCAGGTCAGTGAGGAGCACAGACAGCCATCAGATGACGACACGGTGAACATTCCATCCAAGCTGTGTCCCGAGCTAAGGGGGACGAGTGGAGAGGGCTGAGCACACATAACGGAGACCCCGTGGGAAGGGGACTCTTGAGCAAAGACCCGAGAGCAAAGATGTTCCCTAGAACAGAGGGAGCAGCCTATGGCAGGCCCTGCGTTGGGCACACGGCCCGGGCAGGGCGGGAGGAGGCGGTGCCGAGGGCGCGGGGGCGCAGTGACCAGGCCACCCGCAGCCCCCTGGGCCACGTCAAGGGTTTGGGTGTGTACCAGCTTCTGCTTTGTGACCCAGCACCCTCTGGAAGTGCCGCCACGTATTTCAGCCACGGATCTGCAGACTGGCAACCTGGGCTGGCTCCCTGTGCCTCCGGCACGAGCAGCCGGCGGGGCCGGGGGGCTGGCTGGGCCGGAGGGAGTGCCGAGATGGGGGAGCAGAGAGATGGGGCACAGAGGGGGAGGGGTGCTGTTGCTGCTGTTGCTGTTTTAGGGGCCCCAGAGTGGGTGCTGACTCACGGTGACCCTCTGGGACAGAGCAGGACTGTCCTTAAACAAGCTGGGCACACCCTCTGTGGAACCTCTGAGTGCGTTTCACCATCAGCCTTTAGGTTATTGTTGTTGTTATGTGCCGTCGAGTCGGCCCCAACTCATAGTGACCCCTTCTTGGGTTTCCGAGGCAGTATCACTACGGAAGTAAATTGCCCAACCTTCCTTCTGAGGAGTGGCTGGTGGGTTTGAACCTCCAGCCTTCTGGTTAGCAGTCAAGTGCCTTAGGCACTATGCTACCAGAGCTCCTAACCATTAGGTTAGCAACTGAGAATTTAACCATTGCACCACCAGGGCTCCTTAACAGAGAGATGGAAAGAGAGTTTGGTGACCCATCTGCCGTTTGTAACTCCTGCGGGCGCCGGCTTACCCCAGGTGAACACCTTCCAGGAGGCGTGCCAGTGGGGCTGGTGCCTTCTCTCAGTGGAACAGGACTTAGGCCTGGCCGTTGGCACCGGGAGGGCATTTTCACAGCTCCCCAGTGGTGCCCGTGGGAGGCGGGCTGCGGCCCCCACAGACCGCTACCACCAGCTTACCCTCTCACCTGTCGCCCAGGGACCATCTGTGATACGTGAGTGAAAATGGGGTGCAAAAGGCCAGCCCTGGCTCAGGGAGGGCAGGCACGTGAGGACACGCAGTGCCCACAAAATGCCCTCTCCCATCGGGCCTGACTGCGGTCTAAAGCTCCCACCTGCCGCTGGATGCCCGTGGCCCCTCCAGACTCAGCTTCCCAAGCACGCAGCTGCCCCTAAGGGGGTGCGGATGAAATACCCGACACACGTCCAGTCCTCGGGGGTCAGCCCGCCCTCTGTCCAGGGGCCCTGTCTGGCCCTCTGGGCCCCAATTCTCCAGATCCCTATCTCAGCACCAAGTATGATACGTGCCCTTCAAAGCCACTGAGATGGGAACACAGTCACACGTGGGGACAAACGTTCCTCATGCAGGCGCCGAGCAGAGAGCCTGGGTCTGGCACACACAGCACAGGGGCCAGCCGTGACCAACTCCCCCGGGAAGCGTGTCTGACCACAGGTGTAGATGACCTGTAAGGCACCCATACTGACCCGCTATCCCTCCAACTCTTACCCTTCCAGAAAGTTCAGCAGTACACGGTCATCGTGCAGGCCACAGACATGGAAGGAAATCTGAACTACGGCCTCTCCAACACGGCAACAGCCATTATCACGGTGACAGACGTGAACGACAACCCGCCAGAGTTCACCACAAGCACGGTAAGTGCCCCCGGCATGTGCTGACACACAGCCCCGCAGGCCTGGGGCTCCCTGATGCAGGACACGCAGCCCCACGGGCCTGGGGTTCCCTGATGCTGGGCGTCCGGTCACCTCAGGCCTGGGGCTCCCTGATGCAGGACACGCAGCCCCACGGGCCTGGGGTTCCCTGATGCTGGATGTCCGGTCACTGCAGGCCTGGGGCTCATTGACGCTGGGTGTCCAGTCCTCATGGGCTAGCTGTCCTGCTCTCGGCCACTTTGTGGCAGGCACTGTAGCACAGACCTTGGGCAGCAGGCTGGTGGGTGCTGGAGGGGCTCCCCAGGAGGACCAGCGAGAGAGCCCCCAGCCACGCCTGCTACTGAGCAATGGCCACAGCAGGTGCCCAGGGCATGCTCTGACCTGCAGCCGGTCTGTGAGTGGAGGCAGAGGCTGGAGCTCTTTGGGAGGCGCTCTTTGGGAGGCGCTCTTTGGGAGGCGTGTGTGTGGTGTGTGCAAAGGGTACCTGCTCGGGGTGACTGGGTGGGGCTATGGCCTGGGTGGGGCTCCGGCCAGGGGCGGGTCTCTGGCCAGGGGCGGGTCTCTGGCTAGGGGTGGGACTCTGGTCTGGGTGGGGCTCTGGCTAGGGGTGTGGCTCTGGCCTGGGCGTGGGTCTTTCCAGGGGCGGTGCTCTGGCCGGGGGCGGGGCTTGGGTCTGGCCTGGGCCGGGCTCTGGCCTGGCGGGGTGCCTCGCGGGGGGGGGGGGGGGGGGGGCCGCTGGCCTGGGCGGGGCTCTGAGGGACAGGAAGAACTCAAAAGCCTGCCCCCGCCCCCGCCCGTGGCCGGCAGCAGGAGGGGAACCGTTCTTCCCTCCCTGTGGCCACACCAGGCTCATCGAGGACCTGGCTGACCAAGGTGTTCTGGTGGACACCATGCCTTCACGCCAGCGACTTACAGTCCACGTGCCCAGGCCAGCAGCTCGCAGAGACAGACCCTGTCACAAGCACGAGTCTCGGGGCAGAGCCAAGGGCTGGGCCCTGAGTCCTGCTGGGCCCGTTTCCTTTGGATCCGCTGGGCAGCCGTGTGGGGCGGGCTCCCCCATGACGTGTGCAGTGCCCAGCGGGCCCCACTCGGTGCCAGCCCACTGTCCCTGCGAGCCCCAGCCCTCTCTGCCCAGCACCCAGCGGCCTCCCCATGGACCCCCTCCCCGTGCCACATCCCGCGTCCATCTTCTCAGGCCTGGCAGGCTGTGGACCCGGCGGGGCTCACACGCTGGGGCAGTGAGGACCCAGAGTGCCGGCGTGGGACTAAGATGCTCAGACCCCCTGGACCCGAGGGTCTTCTTCCCTGCCACCTGGGCCTGGCCCCCTTCTTCCCGGAGCCCTCCGCCCCCTGCGCCCACCTCCTGTGAACAGGGACCTAAGGGCGGTCACAGTGGCAGCCCTCGGGGCTCCGGCCGCTTGCCCGGAGAGGCACAGCCGCGCGTGGGCACGGCCGGGACTCCAGCGGCGCCTTCCCCGGTGCGCGCGCAGCCTGCCCCCTGCGCCCCTCGCCGGGCCTGCTGCGAGCGTCCCCGCGCACCAGCTCGCGCCCGGGACAGCAGGCTGGCCTTGCAACAGCGCCCCCCTCGGCCGCGGTGCACAGCGACCCCTAGCGGGCGGCCCGCTCCGGCCCGCAGGTGGGGAGGGAGGGACCGCCTGCGTCCCGGCTCCGCTTTTCCCCAGCCCGGTCCCCTGATGGCCCGGCAGGTCCCCAGGGGACCAGTTCCGCCGCCGCCCTCCAAGAGCCCTGCCTGTGCCCGTCTGCGCAGGAAAAAAAAAAAGCCCAAACAAGCCCAAACCCATTTCCATCGAGTTGATTTCGGCTCCTAGCGACCTAGGACCGAGTAGACTGCCATCAGCCGTCGGGAAAACACCCTGAGGGGCCCGCAGAAATGGGCCCTGGGACAGCCTGAGGAGGAGGAAAGGTCAGGGAGGGACACACCCTGGCTGTGTGGAAGCTAGTGCCCCTGCGTCCTTGTGCTCCGGCTGACACCAGTCCCCGGGACAGGAAGTACTGGCAAGGTGTCCTTGTCCCCTGAGGCACCCTGGAGCTGCCCTGGACCTCGGCCAGGATTTGCGTTTGACCCAGAAGCTGGCACGGCTCGGTCTGGGTAGAACTGGGGGCTGCCAGCCCCAGGAATGCAGGGGAAGACAAGTGCCTCCGGGAGATGGTGGGGGACCGGGCAGGAGCAGCAACTGTGGTCCTGGGTCCCAATAACCCTTCCCTCCACCCCAGGCTCTGCCCCCTCCTCTCCCAGCCCCTCCCAGGTGCCCCCCTTGTACGCAAGCACTCGACCCCTCGACCCCTCGACCCAGGCTGACCACACTGGGCCGTGTGCACCCTCTGGGACAGCCGAGGCGGTCTGGTGGGGTTCACAAAGAGACCCTCTTGAGCTTCCTGAAGGGCCAGGGTGGCACGAGCTGTCCCAGCTGTCCCACCTCCGTCCAGCTAACCGCAGGTGGCCAGGCCCTGTGGACCGTCAGCAATGTCCTCTTCTCAGGAGAGGATCATGGCGGAGTGTCCGGCCACTCTGATGGCGCCTTGGACCCTAGTGTCCTCAGGGAAGGGTCTGGAAGATGCCTTGTCACAGCTGGGCGGGGCGGAGACGGGCACGGAGCTGTGTTCCAGGCAGGGGTCCTGCCGGGCCCAGCTTGGGGATTCTTTTCCCTGGGCCACATGGTGATATGGCCATCCCTAACACCCGGTCTTGGTGGAGCAAACTGTTAACACGCTTGTCTGCTCACCAAAAGCTAGAGGCTGGGGTCCACCCAGGCCTGGCAATGGTCTCAGAAAACACAACCACTGAACCCCCAGGAAGCACGGCTCTCGTCTGACACATGCTGGCTGCCGGGAGTCGGAATCGACTCCTAATGCCCAGGGCGCCCTACCACCAAGGTCCCCTCAGGATGGGTGACAGGCAGACAGGGATGCCGGACAAGATCTAATCAGCACTGCCGCCCCACAGCTGGCTATTTTTAGCAGCTTTAATCAAGAACAATCAGCGGAAGCTGAGAGATGCGGGGTGGGGTGCAGGAGCCAACTCCTGTTCTTAAATGTGAATTCAAAGTTCTTGCCCTCGGCCGGCTCTGGGCACGCTGCCTGCGCCCGTGTCCAGGCCGCCAGCCTGGGTCTCTCCCTGCACCCAGGCCTCCTACAACAGAGCACTGGGTCTGAGGGGCCCACAGGACCACCGGGAGGGTCCCCTGGGTCAGCAAGCCCAAGCACTGGCCTCTTCTGGTCCCCCAGCTGTGTGGCCTGGGGCTGAGAGCCACCGTGCCCCTCACTTGAGCACAAACACATGTCGCCCACGTCAGGTGGCAGCAGGAGCATCCACAATGCACGAGCTGACGCCTTGAATGACGTGAGCCACCCGTCCTGACTCATGACGAGCCCACATGAGGGCGGCAGGCGGCCTTTGGGCTTTGACAGCCCTGGGGCCTGTCCCAGCCTGGCGGGTAGCCACTGAGGGGCCAGCAGGGCCATGGAATGTCCAGAGCCGGTTTCTTCATCTGTTAAAAAGCAGCGGAGAGTCGTGGTGCTTTGGAGGGGGTGGGCAGTGGTGTTTGCTCTGCACCCGCCCGGCCCCCCCCCCACCTCCAGGTGCAGTGGGGCCCCAGGTCGGCTCCACTGAGTACGAGCCGGGGCCATTCTGCTCTGTGGCCCCAAGGTCTTGAGGTTCTCGGAAGTTCTGGCCCATGAAGCCCAGGGGACAAGGCGCTTTGGGAGCCACCTCCCCGGCTGGGAGGTGAGGCAGCTTCTAGGCAGTGGACAGAGGGCTAGCCTTGGCCCCTTGCTGGGGCACAGGGCCGGCCCACGGGGCTCCTCCCACACTACCCCTCCATCTGGAACCTGAGCCCACTCTGGACCATGCCTGCGACTCTCTGATCACCTCAGTTTTTCAGTTACGCCCCAAACCCCAGAGAGGAAGCAACTGCGATTCTACATGAGTTCCTGACGATAAAAACTTGGCCTGAGAAGACTCGGATGGACTGTGGGCACTCGGGGCGCTCTGTGCGGACCTCTCCAGCAATATTTAATTGGAGCTGGCTTTTCTGAGAGTCAAGTGGGCATAATGTCCCCTGCTCACATCACATCCCCCCACCAGCATGTCCACTGGCCCTGGGGCAGCGGTGCTGGTCTGGGGTACAGGGCGAGTGGACTCAGGCCCTGCCTCCGGGAGCACACGGGCAGGGGGTGCAGATAATCACACCCGGAAACATGCAGCCCCACCCAGCAAGACAGTACACAGAGGAGCAACGCCTGACCCCAGTGCCGGCGGCCATGGCTACTGGCCACCCACCACCCTCATCACTCGCTGTTTCCTCCCAGTCCCTGATCCTTGCCCTGCTGTCTCTGCCTCAGTTTCCTCGTCTGTAAGGTGGGGCGAACACCAGGGCCATCTCCCCCACATCAATCACTCAGCAGTGTACATGGCCCCCCGTAAAACCGCGTCGTGGTGGTGGCTGATCATCCCCCCGGCGGCCACTCCCCACCCGGCAGGACAAGCTGCTGGAGACCGTGGGCCCGCCGTGGGCACACCTTTCAGTGCCCGCACCCCTTCCGCCAAGGCTGTGAACCATCCTGGTCTTTGATGCAGGTATCTCGGAGCTGGGCGGTGAAGGCTGTGTTCTGGAATGGCGGCCCTTCCCCGCGTGCGCTGGGCTGGCACTGAGGAAGCCCGCCTTCGTCCGTCCCCCGTCCCCCGTCCCCACAGCACTGGGAGGTGGAGAAGCTCGGGGGCTCCGGCACGGGAGCCCTCACGCTCTGGACTCAGCCTTCTGAGCTGGAAAATGAGGAAGGAGAAGAAAGAGCCTCCACAGGCCTGGCTGGAGGAGCCACGGCTGCCGCGACGCTGGCCTCTGAGCGCGGAACCCAACACAGACCGGCCTAGCTCCGCTGGACCCGTTCCCACGGCCGTAGAGTGGATTCCGACCCTCAGCGCCCCGGCGGACGGCGTGGAAGTGCCCCGCAGACAGTGGCACTGCGCAAACCGAACAAAGACGCAGCTGCTGCCGTGTCCCTGGGGCCGAAGGGACAGTCCCTGGCCGCCCTGGTGGCCAGCAGGGCTCCGAACGCACCGGCAGGACCGAAGCCCTCCAGGCTGCTCTCCGAGCCAAACTAATCTCCACGAGGGGTGCGCCCATTCCCACTTGCTTCCCTCCAGATGAGGCCGCCAGGCACTGAGGGCAGCTCCTGGGAGGACGGGGAGGCTGTCACTCCAGCAAACCCCACCTGGCCGGCCACGCGGTCCTGGGGAGACGGGAGGGGAGCAGAAGGTGGTGAGGGTGGGTGGAGCTGGAGCCTGGCGGCTCTGCCTGGAGCCAGGACTGGACCCCGTGACACAGCTCAGCCGTGCAAAAGCCAAGCTCGGTCTCGAAGACGCCGAGGTCGTTCATCAGCACAGGACACAGTGAAAGGACACACCAGCGGCCATGAAGTCGGGGGCCGGGGAGCCAGAGTGCACCTCCTCCCCACACTGGGCATGGGGACCGCGCTGTCACCTCCGACACCGGGTTCAGGGTTGCCACCGGCTGCCGCCATGCTGACCCCCAAGGCCTGCCTGCTGTGTAAACCCCAGGTGTCTCACCACCTCCTCCTCAGGCCACTCTCTCTGGATCAAAGTCAGGCCAGGGTGTCTGAAGGCCCAGCTTAGAGGAGGCAGAGCAGTGAGTTTCTGACTTCCACCTTGGAGGGGAAGGAGGAAGGGGATTCAGAAGGTCCCAGACAGCCAGGAGCCTAACCTCTGTCCACAACCCTGACCTGCAGCTGGAACCAAAGGGAGCCCCTCGTCTCCCAGAAGCTGACGGGGTCCAAAGGGCAGACCCCGGCTACACACTGCACAGCGACTCTCAGCTGGTAGGAGGCGCTCAGCTCTCTGTCACCACCTCAACACACACACGATAGCTCTGCACACTTCACACCAGGCGATGGCACAGTGACCAGTTACAGGGGACAGTGAGGGCAGCCGTCACTGTGCCACGGCAGGAGGAAAGGATCCTGGCTGTGTGCTTTGTCATCTGCACGGCTGACCCCGAGCCCAAGCCACGTGACAGGGACCAGCAGGAAGGCAGGCCCCTCCATTGTTACTCCCATCATGCACCCGTGATTCTGTCCACTTGTATGTCTGTCTGTCTGTTCAGCAAAAATTACTGACTGGTCTCAAGGATTCCATTCCCCCAGCCTTCTGCACTTGTCCAGCTGCTGCATGTGGGAAAGCGTGGACTTAGGAGGGAGGCCAGGTGTGTATGCACACGTGTGTGTGTGTGTAAGCGGGACAAGCCTTGGTTTGGAGACAGGTGTGTGCAGGCACGGAAAGCCACGGCCCCTCAGTGCCCCCCTGCCTCACCACCAGCCCAGGATGGGCAGCCAACCCGAGTCCCCATGGTTAGGAACAGCTCGAGGAGGCAGCCCTCCAGGTGTTGACAGAGGCTCTCTCCTTATCTCTCCAGTGGGTTATTTTCTTCTGAATTTCATTTATTTTGTTGGTGGTGTTGAGAACACACAGCAAAACATACCAAGTCAGCAGTCTGCACATGCGAGTCAATGACATTCTTCAAGTCGTGTGAGCATCCTTCCCTCTGTGGCTGAGCTGTTCCTCCCGCATTAATGAACTCACTGCCCCCAGATCCAGCCTTTGGAGTGGCTGTTGTCAGTGTGATCTCAGAGAGACAGACCTGAAAAGAGCACGGTGCTCCAGGGAGACCTTGTTTACTAGTTAAACCAAACTATTGTTTGGCTTTTAAAATGGCTTTAGGATATTTTTGGTTTAAAGTTTAGAGATTGTGTCAGGGCAACATTATCCACCCTCAGGGGTCATCTAACCTTTATGGCTCCAGGAAGTCTGCAGTCCATGAGCATTTGAAATTTTGTTCTGCATTTCCCCCCTTTTGATCAGGATTCTCTGTGCAATCTTTGAGCAAAGTGGTCAGTAATGGTAGCCAGGCACCATCCAGTTCTTCTGGTTTCCTGGCAAAGGAGGCAGTTGTTCATGGAGGCAGTTAGCCACACATTCCACGTCCTCCTCCTCTTCCTCACTCTCCTTCCTCTGTTGCTCCAAGTAAATAGGGACCATTTATGCCTTGAGTGGCCACTTGCAAGCTTTTAAGACTCCAGCTGTGTGGGTTCTTAACATCCCCTTTTCTTACATCTTGCAGTATGCAGGGGAAGTCCCTGAAAACCGGGTGGAGACAGTGGTCGCCAACCTCACCGTGATGGACCGTGACCAGCCCCACTCGCCAAACTGGAATGCCGTGTACCGCATCATCAGTGGGGACCCCTCCGGGCACTTCAGCATCCGTACAGACCCCATCACCAACGAGGGCATGGTCACCGTGGTGAAGGTGGGTGCCAAGCATGCTGAATGCTGACGACTGGCAGGTCCCCTGAGAAAAACTCAACAGAAATGACACTCAGTGTAAAGTGCGGGCCACCCCTCAGAGTCAAGGGCAAAGGACGTGGTGGCTGAGCGCCTTCACAGGCACCCAGGAAGGCCTGGCCTGCCACCCACCAAAACAGCAACTGTCCCACTCCTCCCTGCTGACCGTATCGCCCCTGAATTTCTGAATTGACTTCCTCCTGATGAGCCATCCTTGCATTCCTGAGATAAACAGAGCGTAGGTGGGAAGCTTAGTAAAACCTGTGAAGCTGGAACGTGGGTGAGGTGGAAACCTGTCAGAGAAGGAACAGCCAACATTTCCCACTAAACCAGCAAAGCAAAGTGTCAGGACTCCACCCTGTCAAAGGCGGAAAATGCGTGGAACCCAGTAAACGCGGTCCCACTGCGCTCCACCTCTCCCAGCTTTCGCTGCTGTGTTTCTTGCAGGACGTTTTGCTCACATCCAAAGTCTGCCCCGTGTTTTCAGGAGGTCTTCAGTCTTGTGGCTCTCCCGTCTCATACTGTCATTACTTAGGTCTCAGTATCAGGTCATAGACGAGTCTTAAAAAATATTTTGGGGGGTGTTTCTTTATCCCGAGACAGGTTGTGTGAGGTTATAATTATCCATCGCTGCAGTGCTTGTTAAGGAGCTCTGATGGTGCAGTGGGTAAGACATTTGGCTGCTAACCAGAAGGTCAGAGGTCCAAATCCACCAACCGCTCCCCAGGAGGAAGATGAGGCAATCTACTTCTGTAGAGATTTACAGCCTCAGAAACCAGATGGGGGGGCGCTATGAGTCAGAATTACCTCGATGGCAGTGGGTTTGGTTTTGCAATGCTTGTTGGAACTGTTAAACCCTCTGGGCCTGGTGGTTATGGGCTTTGCTTTTGTTTTGGGGTGGCAAAGCTTTGTAACTACTGATTGAACTTTGTTAATGGTTTTAGTCAGTTATATTTTTCCAGAAATTGCCAACTTCACCTAAACTTTCAAACGCAGTTAAGCCTTAATGCAGTCCTCTAACCTAAGCCTTTTTCTGTGCTTACAACTCATACCCCTGGAGGCTGGGCCCGTAGAGACACAGTACAACCTACCGCCATTTATAACTGATGGGAAGCTGCAGTTCCTACGGTCCCGACCTGACTTCTAGTGGGACTAAGAGGAAAGGAGGAGAGAACATCGGGTGTTTGCAGAGAAAGGAAAAGTAACCAAAAGGCAAGCTGCAAGAAGGCCATGGAGCCGGCATCTTCGGACCTCCTCCGACCTCCCGAGGGGAGCAGAGTCACCACCCACAGCCCAAGGCTGATTTCTATGAGGCCAGACGTGTGCCACCCTTCAGCCTTTTTACCAATTCTGCATGAACTGTCCCTCTCGTGGCTCTCACTACTTCTCTGCTGGTTCAATAATTCGTTGCAATGTCCACCCAGAACTCACAGACAATACTCACGATTATGCGGTTTATTAGGGAAGTAACAGGTTACAATTCAGCTTCAGGAAAGTGCTCAGGGTACAGTTCTTCAATTAGGTCAGTCTCCCCTCTGCTGTGCCCTCAGGCACTCCTGCCTTTGGCCCTTAGTCTCTCGGCCTGGCCTCTGTCCTACTTGGGCAAGCGTGTTACGGGCATTCCTACTTCCGTAGTGATACTGCCTCGGAAACCCAAGGAGGGGTCGCTATGAGTCGGGGCTGACTCGACGGCACATAACAACAACAACAATAGGCACACCTAGGTGCGCCCCACGCCGCCAGCAAGCGTCCTGCCCAAAGCACACAGCCTTCTCACTCCACTGGCCGGAAAGACCTCTGCTCTGTCTCATGCCTCTTGGTTTCACTGCCAGGTCTCTCTGCCAGGGCGTCTCTCCACCAGGTGTCTCTCTCAGCCAAGGAGCTCCAGCGCAGAGATCTCGGGTCCAAGGACACACTCCACTTCACCTCCAACTCTTCTCTCTTGATGGCAGTGAGACCCCCTCTCTTTCTCTAGGAGGGTTCATTTTAAGCCTGGCAAAGTGACAAAACTAACCAATCCCAGCATCAGAGTTCTGCACATCTTATTTGCATGGTCCCACCCAGTAATCTGGTGGGAGTTACTAGAAAAGCCATACCACGTCATTCACTGTACCACATAAGCTTCAAGCTAGATGGGATGTGTCCAAGTGTAAGGAAAAAAACAACTTTGAGTTCTGTCATTTAGAAACTGCATTCTGCTGGTACCGAGAGCCTGACCCCAGAAGTTCAAACACCTGAGGGCTTTGTTCTCTCAAGTAAGACAGGCCCCATGGTGCACCAGCACCTGCACAGTCAAGGGACCTTGTTCCTGCGATGCTTGAGCCGTGCTGGGCAAAGGCTTTCATCCGTCGTTCACCTCGTGGCCCAACCCGGGGACGTGGCGTGCCGTCCCTCCTGTTCTCCAAGCAGAGCCGCCTGGTTTCAAGCATGAAGGAGTCTGATGTGTGGACAGAGGGTCCTGAGGGCCACATGGTCCTTCCTGAGGACTCATGCCCCAAGGGGAAGAACACTCCGTTCAGATTCTCCACCAAGAACATGCCTCTGGAAGGACAGGGTAGACACATGCTCTGTGGGGTCAGGTGCTGGCCAGGTGAGCTGCAGGCGGAGGTGATAGGGTTGATGATGGAGATGGCAGGCAGTGCTGACAGGGGTCAGGTGGGCACCTGAGACCACCGCCGACCTTCTGCCACTTTACAGCTTGGCAGAGGACTCCCTCATTAGGTCACCAGTCTGCACTCGCCACCCCTCGCCAACCAGTCAGCAACTCCTCCTCGCTCCCCCAGCCCTCTCCTGTGGAGGGCTCCAGGTCTGTGCAGCTAGTCCTCAGAACACATGTCCCTCTGGGAGGGCTCTGGGTCTGTCCAGTGACAGCAGCCTTCCAAAGTCTTTGTGAGCTGGCCCTTGGAACACGTGTCCCTCCTATAAGGACCCTGTGGTCACACTGAGCCCACCTGGATGACCCAAGGCCTTCTCCCATCTCGAGGCCCTTAATTTAATCATTTCTGCAAAGTCCCTTTTTCCCTATTGTGTCACATTCACAGGCTCCAGAGAGTGGACCTGGGCCTCTGGGGACCACTGCTCAGACTGCAGCAGTGGCAAAGGGAAAAGTGGCTTTGCGTTTTTCATTGCTCAGGGTCACTGAGAGCACGTGGGTATTTTTAAATTTAATGCGCTCTCATCAGCTGTAATCCTTACTGGTTCTGATGCTTGGATTGGCCCACCACAGCCAGTGGGGGCCTCGTCAGGCTCTTACCGTTTCCCGCCCACTGCTGTGAAAGCTTCCTTGCTTCCTTCCAACAAGACACCAGTTCCATCTTGTTCACGTCTTGCCTTACATCCAAACTGGTCAGGAATTCCTTAGTGAGGAATGGTAGTTAGAGACCACCATCTGGGCAAAGAGGTGCTCAGCGCCTCAGACTGGCCATGGCTTCTGGGTATCTTCAGTGGGCCGAGGTAGGAAATAAAATTTCAAACATACATTCACAAAGACTATTTCCAATTTATTTCACTGACCCAATTGTAGTGTGGTGATTCAGTTAAGATTAGAAGGTGTGATGACTTAAGTTGCCTTGGTTCTTTGGGAAAACACCCTGAGACACTTTCCCCTAAGCCCTAGCTTCCCATCCCAGAAGGTTTGTTACTTTTGTCCAGATTCAGTGATGTTGCCTGGGTAAGCTATGAATAACTTCTGGTTTGATGTGTGTGTCTGGCTCTGGGCTGCAGCCTGCCCTGTGATTGGAATGTACCTTGCAGGGATTGGTCAATACACTATGCAAATGAAGTGACTTAGACTATGCAAACAAAGCGGCTGTGGCTTAGTATGCAAATGAAGTGACTGTAGCCTACTGAGAGGGGATTTGGCAGTTTGTGCCGTACCCCCACCCGGCTGGGAGGGGCCAGGACTTGACATTGACGAGGAGTTGCGCATATAAGCACCCAGCCCCATGGAGGGTTTTCAGACAGAGAGAAGCATGGAGCAGCAGAAGAAAGAGAGAGAGAGACAGACAGACAGACAGACAGAGAGACAGACAGACAGAGAGAGAGACAGACAGACAGACAGACAGAGAAACAGAGAGAGAGGCCTCCTGAAAGAGCTGTAGCACAGGCCAGGGGTTGGAGCGTGAAGACAGCGGGAGGCTCGGAAGGAGCCCATCTGTGGCAGAGCTGATGACAATGAGCCCGGAAGGGCCCTGTGGCAGAGCTGGTGGTGACAGACAGCAGAACCAAGAGGAGGGTGTCCTCACGGGGCCAAGAGGAGGCCTGCCCAGCACTGAAGGGGGACCTCACCTACGTGCTTCCTGATCCTCATCCCGAGTTACACTTGGTTCCCTAAACCACTTAACTGGGAGTACAGTCTGTGAGTTCCGTGCGGCCACTGCACCAGATTATCAAACCCACAAAAGGAGGAGAGTGCACCATGGGAGGGACAGCTGGTGCCAGAATTGGTGAAAAAAAAAAAAAAGTTGGAGCATGGAGGTGTGTCCAACTCCACGTCATGGGAATCAGCTCTGGGCTGATCCTGGTCATCATGCCCCCAAAGTCAGACAGGTTCTGACGACCCTGCTCCTGCTGCCAACATTTCAAGAAGGTTTTTACTGAGCCACGTTGATTTTATTCTTGACTCTCGTTTCTCTTAGACTGAAAACCTTAGTGTCTAAAAACATTAACAGTAGTTGCTTACTTATTTCATAAATACACGTTAAAACTTGAAAAATAACAAAACCAAAATCACTACTAACAGCGAGTGATCCCAGTGAGCTTAAGTGTTTCTCAGCCACCATTCCCTAGACTGTGTCCTGCTGAAGGTGTGCCGTCTGAATGCTGTGCCCTGAAGCCCCCTGAGGTCACTCTTTTCTCTGGCAGTTATGCTGACAATGTGCTGTTAGTTCATTCACGTCCACCGGTTCCCAATGTTTGGTGTTCCTTTCTGTGTATCATTTCACTGTTGGGACCTACAGTGTAAGTTAAGATACCACACGACTCCAAGATCCGACAGAGGCCAAGTTGCCCTGACCAAACAGCCAAGTCCTGCCCCAGCTTTGCCCTTCATGCCACTCCCGCCCCTGCTGCGGGTCACCGTTGCCATTGGTTTGGTTTGTCCTTAGTGTTTCTTTATGCAAGTGTGAGCAACTGCTCGGACACCACAGCCCTCGCCCTGGGTCACACGAAAGGCAGCACAGCACACATCTGTCTCCTGGGGCTACCATGACAACAGCTGGGTGTCTTCAAACACCAGCAGTGTGTTCTCTCACAGTTCTGGAAGCTGCAAGTCCCAACTGAAGGTGCCCACGGGGCTGGCTCCGTCAGAGGCACGAGGGGCACCTGTTCTAGTCTCTCCACGTGCACTGGTTCCACTCTGGTCTCGGTCTCCATCTTCACACGGCCTCTCCCCCGTGTGTCTCAAGTCCCTGTCTTTCCCTTATAAGGATGCCTGTCTTTGGATTTGGGGTCCACTCCAATCCAGGGGGACCTCCTCTCAAAGTGCTAACTTAGTCACATGTGCAAAGACCCCAGATCTAAACAAGGTCACATTCACAGGTGGCAGAAGGGCACATCCTCTGGGGGGCACCATTCATCCCACTACGCCTGGCGACACACCCCTGGAGGGGCACAGTGGGGCACCTTCACCACGCGAGGCTTGAGGGAGCAGGGTGAGGGACCTGCACGGCCCCAGTCGGCAGGAGCTAGAGCCACAGGAGGGGCCACTGAGGAACTCAGCTCCCAAACCATGGCTGGGGCAGAGGGCAGGGACCACTGAGCCAACTTCTCTCTCCTCCCATTGGCCAACCCAGCAGGAAGGCTTGGGGGGCCGCTCCTCCATGCTCACTGAACAGTGGTGGCACCAGCTCACCCTCAGACTTCTCTCATTCCAGGCAGTCGATTATGAACTGAACAGAGCCTTCATGCTCACCGTGATGGTGGCCAACCAGGCACCACTGGCCAGCGGCATCCAGCTGTCCTTCCAGTCCACAGCAGGGGTCACCATCTCCGTCATGGACATCAACGAGGCTCCCTACTTCCCCGCCAACCACAAGCTGATCCGCCTGGAGGAGGGCGTGCCCACTGGCACTGTGCTGACCACCTTCTCCGCAGTGGACCCCGACCGCTTTATGCAGCAGGCCATGAGGTGGGTCCACAGGGCCTACAGGACCTCGAGCCCCCGCTCTCCAGAGAGGAGGGTCCTCAAGCCCAGAAAGGCCTGGAGTTCAGTCCTGGGGTAGGGGGCTGGGGGTCTCCGACCAGGACAGGAAGCAAAGGAACCACAGTGCCGGGGGCAGCCGGGGGCACCCACCCACCCAGTACCACGCAGCCAGCCCTCAACAAACGAAGGTCAAGGTCCCTGCTTCCCAAACAGGAGGCGGGGCCTTTCAGAAACGGTCAGTAGTGTCCAGCTGCCCCAGTTCTGATCCCTTTACCCTGGCAGGTCGCCTACCCTATCTGCCACTCAGTTCCCCATCAGCTGACTGGGGACACTCACAGGGGCCCGGTGAGGACGCCAAGTATGCCAGGGGCTCTCCAGGCCCCTCTGTGGGGACAGCAGGTCCCAGCCCTGAGGTGACACACAGGCAGATCTGCTCCACCTGCAGGTCCTCAGACCCTCCTCAGGACCCCCCAGGGTGGAGGAAGTTCCCCAGGGCCCTGGAGAGGCTGCCCCTGCAACTCCCTTCCAGTGCTCCCCTGCCCCGACAGTCGCTCACAGCCTGCCAGCTGCCCCTCACTCGACCTTGAGGGGGGGATAGTGGAGGGATGGCAGCCCCGCCCACAGATGACGGGTGCTGGCCTCTCAGACCTCCAGCACTTGGCTTGCCCTGCCGAAGGCTGGCTCCCCAGGAAGCAAACCCACACGGGTGGGGCAGCACCTGTGGAGGGGCCAGAGCCAGGCAGGACTGTCCCCAGTGTCGGCTGTGCTGATGACATGGAGGCTCCGGGCAGCTCCGTCCCCACGGCGCCAGCCAGGCTGCGGGACGGCCTCACCCCCTCTCCCCACAGGTACTCAAAGCTGTCGGACCCGGCCAACTGGCTGCGCATCAACACCACTAACGGGCAGGTCACCACAGCCGCCGTCCTGGACCGGGAGTCCGTCTACATCAAAAACAACGTCTACGAGGCCACCTTCCTGGCCGCCGACAACGGTGCGTCCCCAGCCGAGGGAGGCCGCAGGGCGGGGGGGGGGCACCGCGCGAGGCACCCCCGTTCACTCAGGGCCTGTCATTCCCGGCACCCTCCGAGTCACACACGTGGCTGGCCGGGCCCATTGTCCTTACTGGACACCATTCAGTGGCTGCCTTGTCACTCATCACTCATCAGCAGGGGCAGGAGGGCAGGAGGCAGGCCGAAAGGGAATCCCAGTCTGTCCTTGAGCCTGTGACCCCAACAGCTTGTCAGCTTCCCACTGTCACCTGCGGCAGCTGGATGAGGTCGTTTCCAAATGGATCCAGAACCGTCCTGGCCAAGGACTCGCCCGCTGCCACAGATGGAGGGAACCAGGCAGCCCTGCCCGTTCCCCCCAACCAGGAAGCCAGCCCTCAAGGCTCCGACCCAGATGCTGCTCCTTGTCCCCTCAGTCAGAGCAGGGGACAGGGCAGCCCAGAGGCCACCCGTGGGTTGGGGCTGGGCCCACACAGGTATAAGGGGGGATGGGCTGAACAGAGGTGACGCGGAGCAGAAAGAAGATCCCAGAGCACTTGGGGCCCCCCAAGAGATGTAGCCTGGGTCTCCAGGAGCTGGGCGCTTGGGCCCCTCTGAGCCTACCCCTCCCTGGGCAGGGCATCCGGAGCTGGGGTGTCCACAGCCTTCTTAACATGCTCCTCAGGGCCTGACATGCTTACAGGTCGCCACTGCAGAGGGGAGGCAGGAGGCCAGGCGGGTGGGAGGGGAGGTTCTGGAAACCACAGGGCAGTCCCATCGCCACCTACTGACTTGCCCTTTCCCTCCTCTGCAAAGTGGGGGTGACCATAGTGCCTCCCACACGGTGGGGGGTGCTGTGAGAGCCCTTGGGACAGGCCTGGTGTGGGATAAATGCTGGCGGTGTCTGCTCTGATCAGTGTGACCAGTGCCACTGCCACTGGGTGAGCACCACTGTGCCAGCCCTGGCCACCTGAGCAGAGCAAGTGAGATGTCTGACATCCAGAAGGCAGAGAGCGTCCGCTAGGACAGGCCTGCTGCACGCTGGAAACCAGCAGGAATGGCAACAAGAGCCCGACTTAGCTTCTCGCATAAAAGACGTCTGGAGACAGGTAGCCTGGGACCAGAATGGAGAACCCGGCCCCTGTGGCCAGCCACTGCCCTTGTCCACTGCGTGGTCCCGAGTGGCTGCTGGTGCTCCAGCCATCACAACCACACTCTGGCACAGAGGAGGAGGGGAAGGGAGCCCAGCTGCCCCATAAGGCCTTTCAGGGAGCTCCGTCCAAGGCTCCCACTCAGCTCGACAAGGCAGAACTTCACGCCACCACCTCCTGCTGCCGGGAGGCTGGGAAATGCAGCCTTCCACTGGGCAGTGACAGTCCCAGAGAAGATCTGGGCTCTGATACCGTCACTGAGGAAGAAGGGGAGAATGGGTATCAGGGTCCACTCAGCAGTGTCTGCCCCAGGGGACAGCTGGGAGACTAGAGGATTTCAGGGAGTAAGTGCTGGCATGGGTGGCAGCGACCAGGGCTTTCTCTGGGCCACCAGGAGCTGACCTAGGGACAAAGCCTGTGTGCCCGGAAGAACAAGCAGGAGGTATG